TTTGTGAGAGTAAGCTTGATCAGCTGCGCGAGTGAGGTCCGGATTTGATTGTCTTCTGCGTCAGCTAGAGCTCGTGCTGCCCTTGCAGATGACTTAAGGGCAAGGTTAGCGGCGCGGACGACCTTGGAATGGGGTACGGTCGCCTTGGATTTCTGAGAGGTTGTTTGTAATTCAGTTTCTGGAGCTGGGGCATTGTCAGTTTCAGCCCCTTCTTTGGCATCCTCGTCCATGCGGTCATCCTCCGTTGCTGCATTCGCCTCCTTAGACTTGTCCTTATCGGTTTCTTCCACAGTTGCATTGTTATCGGTCAGTTCGTGGAGGGCAGTCTTAGCAGCCTCTGCTGCTACTCCTGGTCCTACAACACCAGCCAAGAAGGCGACAACGCTCATGACAGGGTTGTCGGCCTGCTCGAACGGTATTCTGCCAAACCTCAATGGACCCATTGAACCTTCTGTGTTTAAGTACTGGTCTTCAATTGGCAATTCCAAGAACTTGCGGATACACTGTTGGGCAGACCGTGTACCGACGTGTTCTTCAATCTTCGACCAGTCGTCATCGTACATTTCCACACCTTCAAGCAACGAAAGAACTTCTTGGTCTGTCCAATCGTCATTAACACCACTGCCTTGCGAAACAGCTCCTGCTGCGGCAGTAAGTTTCACAAAGTCGCCACTGAACATGGTTGAAGGGAAACGCCCATCGAGGTAACAGGGTGCACAGATCTCCAGCTTCTTGTCCTTGAGAGAGTGATAGCGGACCTGAGAGCAATCTGCCCCGCAAGTATCACAAGTGTGTACAACGAGACTTGAAGGCAAGCCAGTGCCATTCGCCTTCACTGGAGCAGAAGCCCCGTTGGCAAGTGTAGCTGCCTCTGAAGCATTAACTGGCCGAGACGATTTTGAACTAGTTTGATAGATCGAATTGCGAAGTTCAAGAGAGGCGGGGGTGGCGGATACAGTGGGAATTTTGGATCCATTGATGCCTGGCATGGTCGAATTGGCTGCGGTTGGCCGTCTACCAGGGTGCAAGGATTGAAGTCCACGAGGGGTGTCCAGGACGACGCGGAAGTGTCCTGTAAATGGAGGTGCCAATGCCGCTGGCCTTTGTTCTGGGTCAATCTGCACAGAAAGAAGAATTAGAGGAAGCATAACTCAGAATTAAAATAGTTTGGCCTACTTGATAGTTAATCAAACCCCACTGCTCCAGGAAGGCGTGAACACGCATAATAGCGCATACGTCGCCTGCTAAATTCCTTCTGCAGGCAGTAACGGTAAGATATTCGGTAGGCCGCAACCGGTATGTATTGATCATAAAGTCGCGGTAATCTTTGTAGATAGCAGGAGTTTTACTCCGGTTTCGCGAGTTAAAGAACTCAGGTAGAGCTCTTTGTTCGACAGGGTGGATTTTGGACATGTCGAACCAAGCAGAATATGAGGGGACGATGACTTCATGCGTCTGCGCCGCGAGATATTTGCGCGCTTGTTCCTCCAGTCGCTGCCGCGCTGCCTCAAGCTGAGCAGGGTCTTCTTCATCGTTTTCGTCTACAGAGTCTCCGTCATCATCTGCACCATCCGCCATCGACACGTCCGCATCTCCTTGTCCGCCCTCTTCGTCGTCTCCGTCTTCTTTTAAAACACGAACTTTCCCCGAGCTCGTTTCTGGGCCAGCTGAAGAAGAGGCTTCGGGTGGCAGGTTGCCAATATCTCCAGACGGGATAGGGTCGAGTTCGCTTCGTTTTCCTGGTGCATTCTCCGGGTCAACTGGTAAAGCGCCTTGGTTTTGAAGAGGCACGGTGAGTTTTATGCGCTTTGCATCGGTGGGGCTAGGAACAGACGATCCTGAGCGCTTGGGCGTGTCCATGACTGTAGTTGGATCTGCACTGCTGTTGTCGTTGACGGCGGTCGCTTTCAACGTCGGCAACAACATTTCTTGAATGTTGCACGACGCGGTTATGGCTAAACACGAGCAACCAACGACAAACATGCTCGTCTCAAAAGTCAAATCCACGCAGTCTTTTAAAATTTATACATACTTCCAAGTCTTCCATTATTTGTTGCTACGTACTCTACATGGTGGTCTGATTTACAATGAAGCAAGAAATACAATGTTAACAACTAAAGCGTCCTTCGTCCCATAATTTTACACGTCCATGGTAAGGACGACACGGCCCGCAATCGTGCCCTTCCTAAGGTCATCATAAACCCTGTACAAAAACGTTAGCATTGGATATACACCGATCGCAAAGATACATACTGCTCTATATCAGACAATTTCTTGGTCATATAATGACACTTCACCGCCCCTGAGGCAGCAATTTCGATAGCTTCCACGGCGTCTTGACGATTTCCGACGTACGAACCGTGAATGGTGAGGGATTTGAATACTACATCGAAAATGCCAGCATTAAAGTGAGCCTTTGCGGGCAATCCAACAGCCATGAGGTGGCCCCCAGGACGCAGATAGTCCACAGCTTGAGTATAGCCGGAAGGCTGAGCTGCATTTTAAGCGTCGATATCAATGATAAAAGGGAAAATATAACGCACCAAGGCGGTTGTAACCAGCGCGGCGTGTGCGCCCCTTCCTCCCGTAAGTTTTTTGACATCTGCAACAATATCCTTTGTTTTGGCGAAATCGATCCAGTGCTCGGCACCGAGGTCCTGGCAAAGCTTCTCCTTCTCATCGCCTGTATCAATGGCAATAACTCGACGTCCAATATACTTGGCATATTGGACAGCTAAGAAGATATAAGTAAAAATCGACAAAATAAGATTAGCAACACTAACCAAGATGACCAAGTCCTCCTCCGGCTCCGGGAATTACAACCCAGTCACTAGCATTGGTCTCGCTGTATTTTAGGGCTCGGTAAACGGTAAGGCCCTAGGTGAATGAAAAGTCAGAAGGCAGATACTGTAAGACTTCAAGTGCAACATACCGCGCAAAGAATTGAAGCAGCAGCCTCGCTGTCAAGTTCGTCGGGAATCGCAGTCACGGTATGGACCCAAGAAACCTGAGAGAAAAATGAACTTCATGTCGATCGAATAAAAGGAATAAGACATACGACATATTGAGAGAAAGTTCCATCGACTGTGTAGCCGCTGATCCTCACGTCATCGCAATCTGTTAGATGAATTAGTACATATGATGACGCAGATATTCAAGGCAACACACTTTGTTCGAAGCCCTTCCTACAGTGCTCGCAATGGAGGCAGGAATGGGCAATCCACTTGACGCCGACTCGTTGACCGACTTGGACTGGAGAGTCGACCGTATCATTTCCAATGGCCACGACTTCACCGACACCTTCATGGCCACCAATGAGAGGTGTATTGGGCTTGACAGGCCAGTCACCCATGGCAGCGTGAAGGTCTGTGTGGCACACTCCGGTACATATCATCTTGAGCAGACACTCGCCGGGGGCGAGTTCCTGGGGAGTCTTGACGGGCACGTCCCTGATCTGTACATCCTGTCCTAGTTCTCCAACGACGGCGGCTTTCTGAGTTTTTGGTATTTGTACCATAGTTAGATGGATGAGAGAATGATGAATAAATCCACACAAGCACAGATTAAATACAAGAAACGGTCGGTCAGTCTGCAATGTAAGACGTCATTTCAAACGTGACCCGGCGATGGGTTCTGGGCAGGATTCAAATTGGAGGAACTGGACCCAGTCCTATCCACACGATAACACTCATGACACTGTCTTCCTGATACCTGCGGAAATAGATATGGACGTGGCGGGCCTGACAGTTATCCCAACCATGACAGAGAAAATAGTGTAAGTGGGGCCTGGCTTAGTCTCGAAACCGGACGTTCGAGAGTTGTTGCTCTAAAGATGGGAGACAATCAAGTTCCCAGCAAATTGATGGGAACAATTGGTCAAATCTGGTCAAATCTGGATTGATACCCTGTTTTGGACGGATTCCGAAGCCAGAATGTCTGATCTCTGGACTAGGCCCAGCTCTAGACCTTGGTATCTCGGCTTCACTCTGAACTTACTCCCTTTTTTCTTCTTCCAAACGCACCTTTATCCTTATCTTGAGTAGCCTACATTTCTCTCTTATCATCATCCTTAAATTTCTTGTCTTTATCGCTGTCGCTATCGACGCTACTCTCACATCGGAAGGCGTTACTCTAGCAAATCTGTATTGATTCAGTCACTTGAGCAACTTGAACATCTGGATTAATATCGAAGCCATTGCTAGCCAGATCCCTGACTCCGAGTGGCGCAAATTCCTAAAACGATCATTATCTAACCGAGTCATACCTCCGTTCATAATGCGTTAAAGCAACGGGCATTCCCTAGGGATCCATCCGCCATCTTGCTGGAGGATATCGCGTTCAGGTCAAGTTTCTTTTGATACAATCGAACCCGGCATCTCCGGACACTCGACGTTCAAAATACAGAAAATTTATGACACAGCAAAGCCCGGGTACGAGGTCGCTAAGGTCGCTGAAGTAATTTGACCCCTGCTTAGTTGCTAGTGAAATAGCTCGCAGAAATGAAACATCCTGCGCAAAACAGTTTTCCAGACCTGTGCGCAAAGTAGAGAGGATCCTAAAGTTCCAGCCAGATGACTCGTCGGGTTGGAATGGTTGACGTGTCCAGACGATCGGCGTACTAGTAAACTTTTGAGGTCATGAATAAGCGAGGTGGTCGACACAACATTGAATAACTTCAATTACTACTAATTCATTAGTGAATAGTTACTTGTCGATCAGAGCAAAACAGGATACACGTGATCACGCAAAAAATTTTATAATACCATCGCTTATCGTCGATTAAAATTTAAACGGGATACCTTGGCGAAAACACGGACGTACGAACCCAAAATTCAGCAGTTTCTAGCGTAGATGATACAGATGTAATGCCTTGAACCAAAGCCCTGAAAATTTTCAGCTGTTGGAAAAGAAAATAAGAAAATCCTGCTTCCTCGCCTCCTCCCCCGTTTCCAGGCACTTTTTGATGCAAAAAGATCATCCTCAATTTGAAGAGGAAAATGTGATGAGAATGGGATTCGAACCCATGCCCTTTCGGACCAGATATCGCAAGTTACGTTATGCAGATTGGACATCTAATGTCCTGATCCTTAGTCTGGCGCCTTAGACCGCTCGGCCATCTCACCTGTGGAAGGTTTTCGCAATTAGAACATCATGCTCTTTCTTCAGTACTAATGATATTAAGATCCCTTATGTTATGACTTGGTTATGACTTGGCTCCTTGAAGGTTTTAAATATCAACGCTACTGTGTACAGTGCAGTTGTGATCATAAAATCTCGAAATGTGAACGAACATCCTGGCATGCCCTGGATATGCCCATTAGCCGGCGATTAATGGTCATTCATATGCTGGTGTTATTTTCTGTACGCAATATGACTTAGTGGTGCCCTAGTCCCGAGTCACTGATCAGATAGCAGTGATCTTCACTACAAGCCTCTCCACCTTCTGGTCCAGCGCTTCCAACTCCGCTTGTAGGTTTGGATCGTTCTTTCCTCGGATGCTCATAACCGTAGATGGGAGATGATAAGAGACCGAAGTGCCTTCAGGTTTCTCGACGATCAACAGACGTGGAGGGATGCTGTATGCGGCGAAGGGATTGCATTTCACAATCGCCTGCGCGAAAATGGGATTTCCAAACGTATAGACAACAATCCCCCGTTTATCGTTTCCATCTGCGAACTCGAGCAATATATTGTGGGGGACTTCCCAGAAGTATCTAACCGTGAAAATGTTCAGATATCGTGTCTTAAAGCTATGAAAAAAATAAGCTTACAAAAAATCTTGACCGACTGTAGCCCTGTTCACAACGGACATGAATTCCTCCTGATCTTTCACGGTTCTAAGTTTCCCCAAGATATCGCTTGAGCCTGCCTTATTGATTGCGACATCCAAACGCGAAATCACTTCTGAAAATGGCAATGTGGTGTCAAAATTGACGATCTTGGCTGTGAACGGTATGATAGTTTTCGACATTTTCCCAATGAGAGGTAGACCGTTGGCGGACCTGGATGGAAAATTTGAATAATGAATGGAACTTTGAACAAAGCCTTTATATCAGCAACCACCTTCACGGGGCCTCAATTTTTACACGGGATGCCTCCCTGTCCCGTCAGATCGTGGGCAGACGGACAAGTGTGAAAATGCCAGTATGTGGACGCCATGTAAAGGCTCCTACTAGGGGTAGAAGCAAATGCACACCTGTATATCAATAAGCTTGCTTTGACATTCAGTCGGTCACCGGCGTGAAACATACCAGTTCACCGATTCTTTATGCCTTCCTTCTCAGTTTTAGTGGCTGAAGGAGTCCACAGAAACATCGCCTGCACATGATCAGCAAGATTGCCAGCACATCATTAGTGGTCAATGACAAATCTCACTAAATTTTCGACAACTCATCGTTGACAGTCGACATGTAAAATGTCCCTTATCGCAGGATAGGGACTTTCTAATCCGTGGTCTAGTCATCCTGTGTGACTTTTAAAATCGTTCACTTCCCAGTGTTTGGCAGCCTAAACGTACCAAGAAAGTTTTATCCCTGAATCTGCATTCCAATTCATCGTACTTAAGGGGTTATCCAATACTTAAGCGCTCAAGCTCTAACATCTATTCAGAAAACCACGTTATTTAAGAGAAGACCGACGCAGTAGACTCGTTCATTGCTGACCTGTCCCACCGCTAGGGTACCGTGTAGTTCGCATCGAACAGCATTTGCCCTGTCATTAGCTCGAGGGTTCCATGTTGCCTTTTGCAGACCTCAGGAGCCTAATCCTGCCGGTTTCCAAAAGAACTGTGGCAATAGCCATTGATGATCGTGCTGATGACTTGGACTTGGCAACTTGAGCCGATAGCGGATTACCGAAGGTAAGAGGTGGGCAGTAGGAGGGGCTTCACAAATATGGAAACCGGGACAGTTCGAGGTTCAGCGTTAATAAATGTGAGTATGCTTCGATGTCAACCTTTTGAACGATTATACTTGCAAGAAAAAGCCTGAGATGCCACGCCCCGGTGACATACAATTTGCAGACTGCAAGTCCCCATATTTTCGTCTTTCAGACCTTCTGAGGCGATTCTCCGGCTCACTATAATGTCGAAGGTGATTCCCGCTGAAATATGAGTTTGTTTTCCTCGAACTCGAATACTGTGCTTTGCATAATAAACTGAAAATCATTATTATGCAAAGCACAGTAAGCAAAGTCTGCAGTTGGACGCAAGTTGGACGCTGAAGGGCATTCGGCATGATTTGCCAGTGTTCCTGAGGTGATGGGCAATAGACGAGGTAGTTTGGGCTCAGCTCGACTGCCTACTTTGGAAAGCCATCAAGCTCCTTGAAGCTAACTCCAACTCGCAGCAGCTCTAGCTGGCGCCGTATTTCCAATTCACTTCAACTCAAGGGTGGTTAATCAACTCTTGATTCCCCAAGAGAATATAGCAGAAATCCTGCTCCGCTATTTGCGCACCATATCATTGGCTTGTTCGGAATCTCTGACGAACTTTCTCTTCACGGAACTTTGAATTTGCTCGACAGTTTTCTTGAAGTTTGAACAGACCCGGATTCCTTCCCATTCAGTGAGTATCAGTATCGCATCTTCTTTCTAATTTGCTACCTATGCCAACGTTTCGTCACTGGTCAGATGGACAGACACCGAGATAACCTGTTATCAGCACCTTTTTGCAACCTTGGCTTAAACAATGTAGTCGACGTTCCTGTTTGAAGTGTACTCTGTGGACCCAAAATCTTGGCAGGCCTTCACGTTAGGGGTGTCGAGGTGTATAAAGCCCAATCTCATTCATTCACGCAAACCTGAAGCTCGACGCCACGTTGACACCCTTCCTTGTCCACCTGCTTTATTTGCTCGTTTTGATACACGCTGTCGTCGCTGCTAGTCCCACTCACTCGCCCAAGGGTTTGTGCCAACGTCCAAGTATTCGAAAAGAATGGTAAGCACTTAGACTACTATTCCAATTTTCAGTGCATTTATTTATAAGTTCAGGCGAACACTTGGGAGGGCAACTCAGAAGGAATACTTGAATGCCGTGCATTGCATGTTGAAAAGTCTGCAATTACCCCAAGTCCATCTCCCCTGGAGCGGTTTCTCGCTTTGACGACTTTGTTACCGCTCATATTCTCCAAACATTTTCCATCCGTTACGTTGTACGTCTATGCCGCAGTTATATATTGAAAGAAACTGATGGATTGATAAAGTGCCATTTTCTTCCTTGGCACCGTTACTTCATAGCGATGTATGAAAAGGCACTAAGGGTATACTGGCGCACAACTGTACGCAATATTCAATCCTATCTCCGTTGCGTTTCGTAAATCCAGACCATTAAACCAGTTACTGGAACTGGAATTTAGATGTTCCTCCATTGGGGAACTTTGACGCTGAGTTTGGTTTCGGCGGAAACGGACCTTTGGTTACAGTATCCGATGACGACCCCTTCGCCATACCCGGCCGTACTGGAGGAGGTTGTATAACCAATGGTCCATTCAGAAACATGGTTGTGAACATGGGACCGACCAGCAATGTCACCTGAAATCCTCGTTGCTTAAGTCGGGACTTCTGTCCTTACTTTTCCGGAAGGTATCTTAGGATCAATGTTACTAGAGTCACTCTTTCGCAGCCTAATTTTGGGTGGTTCGACCGCGTAGTTGAAGGTGACCCCAGCTTTGACGCATCCGGTCTTCATGGAGGAGGACATTACAGTGTTGGAGGAACGCTAGGTGAAATGGGTGATCTTTATAACAGCCCTTCAGGTATGCATCAACCACTGATGAATCAACGGAGAAACTGACTTTCCATTCCTGTCAGATCCTGTTTTCTACTTGCATCACTCCAACGCGTCTGATGGTCTTGGCAGAAAAAGGACCTCTCGCGCCGAGTTGCAGATATTTCCGGACCGATCTTTATTTTGGATAACAATAATACACTTAGAGGCAACGTGACCTGGTCGTTTTCGCTCTCACTCGGTGTCAATGCACCAAACGTTACCGGTTACCATCGAAGACGTGACGAATACCAAAGGCGGAACGTTGTGATACGACTACGACGAGCTCTACAATTTTTAACGCGATACGCCTTTGATATTGCATTTCCCTATCTGTATCAACAGTGTATTTAGGCCTCATCTATATATGATGTTCCGAAGGTCACTCTGGTCTTCCTTCAAGCCTAAAATTTGCAAGACTGCCATATATGCTTATAAATTAGACACGCGCATGACCTACAACCGGAACATGTCTGGATAGACCGCAATCAACCCCGTCTTTTCTATTGCCTCTACTTGCTTCCACTTAAAATTACTCCGCCAAGATCTTCTCGGCTGACGACTATAGCACCATTCTTGGGAATTAAGGTATATTAAGTCGTGGTTGACCCGACATTATCCCTAATTTTTCTTAAAGATGAAACTCCGCTCCGCTGCCAGTGTGGCTTATTGTGTCAGTTATTGGATTTTTTTCTGTACTTTTTTTTCTGTACTTTTTCACTAATCTCGAATTCAGGACTTGTCTCGAGAGCTCCATACGCTGAGAATGTCCATTTGGACTCATTCTCGAAGAACAAACTAAATGTGAAGATCTAACAAGCACTTCTAAAACGAATTGAACGGAAGAATTCAAAGGTTTTGCTTCGTAAAGTTATCGGAACACTTCTCACTCCAAAAATTCCTATTGGACATGAATATTCGTCGAATGTACGCTGAGGAAGCAGCTGATGTGCCTCAGGACCCTCGCGGACATTCAATAATTGATTTATTCACCTGAATATAAAAGGGCACTGAAACAGTTGCAATTTGCAGCAAGACCTTTCTCAGTTTCTTACGATGTTTTTGAAGAACTTGGCAGTCTTGGGCGCGCTCTCGCTTGTGACTTTAGTGCAAGCCCACTGTAAGTAGTATTTCGTTTCAATATCGCCTTCCATATAGTAAATTTAATCGGACAACAGACACCTTGCCTGACCTCCTCATCGGCGGCACAAACACTGGCGATTGGGTGAACATCAGGAAGACCAACAACTTCGACAGCCAAGCACCTGTCAGTCGATATCATTTTTTGCGTAATTTTTATAAACTTCATCTCACCTCCTTCACCCTCTATTTGAAAAGGTGACCGATGTCACCAGCCAG